GAGAGAGAGAGAGAGAGAGAGAGAGAGAGAGAGGAGTCGATTCCGGACTTCTTCCGGCAGGCCCGCGTTCCCCTTTCTCCAACCGCTCCTCTCTAGGATCGAGTCCACCTATCCACCGATTCCTATCGAGCTCGGCCGCCATCTACGGAAACCTCTATCCGCCGTTTCCTTTCCGTCATCCCGTCCCTCTCCTCCCTTCGTCGACCGTCTTTCGCGCGGGCATAGGATTACGAACGTTTCATTCGTGATAAATTTTTGCTTCGAACTTCGCCACCACCCGAATATGGAAAAATGTAATTCTCTCGAGAGACGAGAGATAGCGACACGTGTTTCGCTACTTTTCGCACGGGGAGAGGATTAAACGTTGTTTCGTTCGTAATAATTCGTGAAAAACATCGGAACTTCGCCACCAATCTTTCAACGGAGAAATAATTCTGTCTCGAGACGAGGGATACGTGTTTCGCTCGTTTTCGCGCGGGGAGAGGATTAAACGTTGCTTCGTTCGTAATAATTCGTGTAAAACATCGGAACTTCGCCACCGATCTTTGAACGGAAAAATATAATTCTGTCACGAGGCGAGAGATAGCGACACGTGTTTCGCCCGTTTTCGCACGGAGAGAGGATTAAACGTTGTTTCGTCCGTTAATAATTCGTGACATTCGGAAGCTTAGCTAGCCACCGTAATAATTCCGTGTCGGGACGAGAGATAACCGTGTTTCGTACAGATTTTTCCGGTTAAGAGAAAGAATAAGGGAAAAGAATAAGGTCTAACCTGTGGTGAAGAGGACGATGGCCTTGAGGCAGCTGTACTCGGCGGAGTCGACGTGGAGGGCCTTGAGCTTTTCCACTTGCTCCTGAAAGATCCTGATGTGGTCCATGAAGGCGACGACGCGGTCCGCGGCCATCGGGGACGCGTGGAGGCCGGCCGCGGCCAGGAGGGGCGCCACGTGGAGCGGCATCGAGCACTGGCTCGCGTTCAGCACGAACAGCTCGCTCCACACTAGCCTGAGGAGGGCTACCTGGTCGGTGACCTGGAGGTCGGGGAAGAACGGGATGTTCCTCGCCCACTCGACCGCCGAGAAGAGGAGCCTCGCGGCCAGCTCGCATATGTTGTCGATCCCCATGATGTTGTTGGGCTGCATGCACTGGCCGTAGCGCGAGGTCGGATACGGCTCCGCCCTGAGGAGCAGGCTTATGTACGAGGAGAGGTACGAGTGGCCGTTGAGGCTGGCGCACGCCACGGCGTCCCCGTTCGTCAGGGCGAACTGCCCCGGCAAACCTGGCAGCGACGGCTGCGACGGTGGCACTCGTCCCCTTTGCACCGCTGCAACACACCAACCAACACCAATACTTTTAATCCTTTCCTTCCACAGTTTTTCATCTTTTTCGCCCAGCCTTTTCTCGCGTTTTCGCGCGTAGATTCGCGGAGGAAAGGGAAGGAGGAAAGGGCGAAGGGAGGCTCTGCTTCGGTCTCTCCTCCTCCTCCTTCGGGGCCCGGCTCGACATCCCCCGCTGCGCAGCGCTTGAATTCCAACCTCCTCTCTCTCTCTCGACGTCGTTCAGCCCTTCCTTCGAAATTCAGAATTCGAATTTCCTTTTTTTACGTTGGAAAATTATTAATTCAAAAAAATCGAGAGATCGTGGAAATTTAAAATTTAAAAATTGCGAAATTTAGACTTCACATTGGAAAATTACTAATTACTACTAAACTAAAATTGAGATATTGAGATTGCTCGAATTTGAAAATAGCAAAATTCACATTCCTTTTTCCTTTTTCCTTTCCGCTAATTCTACTCGAAGGAAAAAATCGCTATTCGATAATTTCACATTTCCTTCGCTTCCTTTTTACATTGAAAAATCACTCAACTCGTGAGATTGATATAATAACGAAAGCTCGAAGGAAAAAAAAATTGCGATGGAATTTGGAATTTAAAAAAAATAGCAAAATTTCACGCTTCTCGTTGGCTTCCTTTCGCCAACAACTTGATGTATCAGTGCTGCGTCATTTACTCTCACCCGAAAGGGAAAAAATCGGGGATTCGAAGTTTAGAAACGGCACTCATCGACGCCGATTTCGAACGGTAAGGTTTCCCTTACGAGCGAGCGAGAGACTCTGTTATTTCGTCCGGTCACGGTGTAGGAGCGGGGTACCGTTACCGTGGCCGGCCCGAACACGGATACTCGTTTCGTGGCTCGTTCGAGCGGAAAATAATTCGTGTGGAAATTCGTATGTGGATAATCGGGCGAGAAGTTGGACGGTTTTTTTACTACTCTGTCGAAACGTACGAGAGAGTTCGATTGTATACGTTGCGACGCGCATGCGTGCAATGGTGGAATATGAGAAGCGAAGAAAGGAAGAGAGAGAAAAAGAGAAAGAAGAAGAAAGAATTCGCATTAAGAAGTTGGTGCTCGTTAAAGGCGCGCTTCGATACAAAATAAAATATTTGTTTAAACAAATTCTGCATTCAAGAGGATCGAAACGAGGAATCGAGGAATTCCCTCGCCGTTCCCGCGCTTATGGATACACGTAATAAATTTATAAATGGATGTATTTTAATTTTATTCGCGTATAACGTTCGTAAAAGGCCTCGCTTTTGTCCGCGCCGGGAGGATTACGACTCAAAGCGAATGCGTGGTATAAGCGAGGAGAATGAATCCAATATTTGCCTACAATTTTGTAACAACCATTTATTTACAACTTCGCACAACTATTTTTTTCCTTCCACTGTTCCTTCGATCATAACAGATTAGATCCCTCTCACGCTCCTCGACGGGTATTATCGATACGAAAATGTAAATCGACGATGAAAACGATGGAATAATAAACGAGTACGCGAATCCTCCTCCTCTTCGTATCGTTCATCAAAATCGTTTACTTGGAACTCGATGTTACTCAAGAGAAGAAATGTTTATGTGCATATATACATATATATATATATATATTACTTTTTTTCCGTTCGAGGATAGGAAAATTACCGAAAGAAAGAGAAGAAAAGAAAAAGGAAAAAAACGACACGAGCTCGACGGCTACGACGACAACAACAACAACAAAGTCTAATTCGACTCGACATTCGCGACAACGTTCCCCTCCCCTCCACGACGTCGAAGGAGGGGAGAGGGGAGAGAGGTCGAGGGTCGGCCGATAACCGTCGGCCGCCATTAATCGCCATTATCGGCTGCTTATTTTTTGTTCCGAAAAATGGGGGCGAGGAGGGGGAGGAGGCCGGTTCACGGTTATCGGGAATCGGCGCGAAAACACTCGCTTCGCAGCCGAGGCGAAAAAAGCGTCTCGACCAGGCTCGTATACACGATAAACGCTTATCTTCGAAAGACTCGCCGCCGTGTCAAAGTCCAGGCCGAGAAATCTTTTTTCCATTTCCAATTCCAGAATATTCCTCCTCCTTCTCCAAACAAACTTCCTATCCGAAATCTCTCTCTCTCTTTCTCTCTCTCTCTCTCTCTCGAAGAAGAAGAAGAAGAAAAGAAGAAGCGATTTTTAGCGCGTGGAAATTCATTCCACGAAAATGGAGACGGGTGACTGAGAGGGAGGGGAGGCGAAGGCACAGAGAAATCGTCGGACGTGGATTGATGACGGCGACGCGGGGAACGAACGAACGAACGAACGAACGGACGGTCGAGTGATCGACTAGAGGAGGTGGGGAGGGGGGCGAAGAGAAAGACCTATGCCGTACCCCTCCCCGCTGCTCCGCCGGACGGAGAAATCTCCCCGCGAAATATTCGCGACTTCGACGATCGAAATAATTACGAATCGTACGATCTTCCCAAATAGAAATATAAACGAATGTATAAACTTGGTCGATATAACCTTTCGATCGAAATAATTATAATCGAATCTTCCCAACACGAGTAATATAAACGAATGTGTATAAACTTGGTCGAAATGAACCACGGAATCGAACTTATAAACTTGAAACACGAAAATCGAGCGATGATCGAATCACTTGGGTGGGGCGAAGAGGGAACGTGAACGTGATTCAAAACGGTTATTTTTCCGCGGCCGTTCGAAGACGAGGAGGAGATATTGGCGGCATGCGACGGGTTGCAAAATTTCACGGTGTATCGCGAGGAGTAAAGTTCAATAGGCGGGCCCGGCCCGCTGCTATGGGCTCTCGTCACGCTCGAACGGTCGCGCGCTCGTCAATTTCGACGAGCGAACCGTGAACATGCAGATATTTTCAACGACCGTGTATTTCTTTTTTTTTTTTTTTTTTCTCGAAATTATTTATTTTCCCGCCAAACCGACTAACAACGAAGATTAAGGGTTTAAGAGAATTAAATATATTAAATATTCTCGAGAATGTTCTATTTTATCGAAGGATGGTAAATATCCCTCGAAGAAGAAAAATAAAGCGAAAGTGTTCTCGATCGTTTTAATTTTTTTTTTTTTTTTAGCAGCGAAACGTTCGAGTCGAGGCAAGCTCGAGGTCGAAATCGGCTGTTGCGATTTTCCCGCCGAGCACGGTGACGGTGACGACGACCTACATGAACATCGGCACGAGGTCATTGGGTCGTCGATTACGACATATCTCGTATCTCGCCGTAACTCGTAAACTCGTACGTGCCGGTTGGAGACCAACTTTCTTCCGCGTTCTCCACAAACTTTGCCCCATCCTAATTTCCCATTTTCCTATTCTCAAGAAAAAACTGAGATACGACGAAGATCGAGAAGGAACCATGCTCATGGGGAGAGAGACAGACAGACAGAGGGGGGAGGGGAGGAGAGAGAGAGAGAGAGAGAGAGAGAGAGAGAGAGAGAGAGAGAGAGAGAGAGAGAGAGAGAGAGAGAGAGAGAGAGAGAGAGAGAGAGAGAGAGAGAGAGAGAGAGAGAGAGAGAGAGAGAGAGAGAGAGAGAG